ATACTCTGTGATGATCTGCTGTAAGATTACTGTAAGGATAACTATTCATTTCTAAATATCAGTTTATTTAAATTTATGGGAGAAAATAAATAGAAGAAAACAAATAGATGAGTAGTTGTTCATTATTTCTATATCAGGACTTGTGCTTACACCATGGTCACTATGATTAAATACATTTAACCCATTGTTATTAATCAAGTGAGCCTTAATTGAGAATGAACTTTGCAACCTTGCTCTACTGTAAGTAAAGTTTCTATGGTTACCTGTTGTGTAATATACCTTGCATTACAAATAATGCAAACTTAGCTAATAGAAACAGACAGTCAATCACAAACAGGTGTATTCCATGGCCGCAGTATAAAAGATAACGTGTATAATGTAAAGAATGATGATAACTAATCTTTCAAATGTTACTTTTTGTTCCAGATGTTCAAAAACCAACCCAACACCCTGTGAGTAAAATGTAACAATCACAAGACAAACACCAACTGTGTTACCTCCCAAACATATTCATATGCTTTTTATAATGTACTTATATGTACTCAAACAATATTTACTGTACATCCATTACAGCATTTTTCCACTGCTGACAAACTGATAGTACATGATGAGGTATGTTTCCCTTTCCTCAACTCAGAAACACGACCACACGTTTGACTCCTTGTATTAATATATTTCTTATTTTATGTCATACAGACAATAAAGTTGGATTAAACATCAATACAATGTTTGCTGATTAACGTTAGCTGGATTACTGACTCATTTCATGTTTAATTCACAATTTTCAGACTTTGTTAAAAGGAAGAGTATGAGGTGGTTTTCAGGAAGACATTTCTNNACTTTCTGTTTGTGTTTCATAAACCACTGTGTTATTTGTACTCAGGAAGAGCCAGAGAGCAATCTGACCTATGCCACTGTTAGCCATGCTGATCAACAGACCTCTCCTAAGAAAAAGGTGAGTGACTTGATACGCCTGTATTTATTCAGCTCTGGTTTTCTACTTCAATAATGGTTTAATCTTAAATTTGCTTTGTCGGCAGTGTATTGCTGGAAAAAAAGAAACTGATCAGTATCACTTTACAATGTGAAAAGTTTATAAGATGTTTTTCACATTAACAAGATATTTTACATTACTATATTGTATAAGCACAATTTTCTCACGTTATAACTTTTCTTGTTATATATTCTCGTTATAACAACATACTATTTATTTTGTTATAATGTGAAACATTTCATGTTATAATATGATAACTAATGTTGTTATACATCTCATTGTCACTTCTGCTGTTACATGTTTCACAAGTTAATTGTTATAAATTGATTAGTTTGTATATCGTAATAACATGAAAATATCTTGTTATAACAATAAACTTTTCATTTTATAATGTGACACTGATCTGTTTTACTTTTACTGTCATGGCAGTAATACTCTTCTGTAGCTTTGCAGTGAAATTGTTTTGCAATATTTTATTAATATGCTGAGGATCAATTACACAGCATGTGCTATGTTTATTTTAAATCTTAATGCTAAAAACTAAAATCATATTTTAAGATTTGTTTCCAATTTTGTGGCGACTGTTTCAACATGACAATTCCCCTGTGCACAGCCAGCTTCATGAATATGACTGTAATTATATCTGGTCCCGATGTGAATGAAAACCAATCACAGCTCATCACAATGTCACTGTAAATAACAATTCTGTAGTTAATGTGTGAATCATGTAAAACCTCTGGATTGTGTCACACAGGTCAAAGAGGAGGAGGAGGTGACTTATTCTACAGTCAAGACTTCATTTAAGACAGAAGCAGACAATGATCCCAGCAGCCTCTACAGCTACGTCAGCCAACCAAAATAAATCAGAGCATATGAGACTTCCCATAATGTCATATTCATAAAACCTGCTGCAAGAGTGTTTTCTGTCTGAGGAAGGGGACAGTTGGATTTGTGCCTCAGTGTTCTTATCAAATGTTGAGAAGTTGTTTCTAGTTTGTTGTTGCTTTGCTCGGCATTAAGACTGTTGTTCTGTTAAACTGCTACTAAAACTATTTCAGTCAGCCAACTCACGTAATGTTTATGTAAGCAGTATATGCAATATTTAGAGATTTTGGCGGTCTAGGCCTGCGCTCGTCACTCCTGCAGGATATGTTTACATAGAGATATTGGGGAGTGATGCACAAATACCTTAACCATTTGGAGCCGTAGCAGGTGGATGCTGGGGTGGTGGTGGGGCTTAGCGGGCAGCAGGGCAGCGAACAGCTTACAGAGCAGGCAGCAGCAGCAATACGGATGCAGGGCAAAAGCGGCACTGACGAACAGAGGGAGAGCTGGGGAAATTGTGGCAGTTTAAATGACGCAGATGGAAGGGAGCGCTTGGTTAGTGGATTATGGAATAAGGCATGTCATGTGTGTATATCAGCGCAGCTCGAGTTGGACCTGCCTGGAAGCTAGCTCGCAGGCTTCGCTCGCATTACTAGCCAGTTGAATTAAATAGCTCATTAGCAGAGTTGGCGCATGATTGCACAAGTGAAAGTCAGAGTCTTGTTGAAATAGATTGCATCGTCAAAACACAAACCTGTCGAGGGCATTGCAGGCTCTCATTGTGTTTCTGTTTTTTTGCAGATATTGTTGAGTGAGACATTTCAGTTTAATTAAAAAATTCTCCCTGAATATTGGAATAAGTTCTTGCTGTAAGTTTAATTTAGCATTCCTTTTGTTAATAGGATCCATGGTCCTTTGAGATTTAACATTGTATGTTTGGACGGTGAGCCCCATCTTATTGTTTTAGGTTGTTTGGCCATTTGAAGATTTTATATTGTGTAATATTTGTGGTTATATTGCATTAGAACTGCTGTGATATCCAGTAAAATGGATTCAAATGTGTTTTTTTTCCTATTGTGTGTTGAGCTTGTAGGTTATAAAATAAATATAATTGTATTTACATGACTCTTTCTTCCTGCCTCTTCTTTGAAGATTTCAGCTTGTACTCCGTCACAAGTGTTTCAACTTACTTGCTAAAAATCCTTCCAACTCCCATATAACTGATGAAAACCAATCCAAATACTTGGGTCATTCACATAAAGGAGGCCCATAGGTGTAACGGCACCTGCAGAAATGCAAATAACGGAACCCAGGCAAAATACACCTATATACTTTAACTATGGTCCTTTCCCTCCAAACACTATTGACACTGATAAATAACAGAATGGAGAAATCACCCCATTCTGAGGAAAGAATCAGCCTTTTAAAGACAGGCCTGGATTACCAGGTTTCTAGTTCTTTCTTACAGGAGAGAAATAAGACCTCCAATCTAATGACTGATATTGTTTTGGCTTCCCCCCAAGGAGTTAATATCAAAGAAACTGTGATTATCACTAAAGTGTGAGCTCCTCCTTCTCTTCCTGACAACCCAGATCTGCACACATACCACTACAAACTCACCAGACTCCCCCCCTCCCTTGCTTTCTGACCTGATCTGAGAGTAAAGAAGGTGTTCGGATTTTTCCATTATTTAGCTCTCCGAAAAGGCTCACCAGGGAAGCACAATATGTTAATGACTTCGTGTTTGTCTTTTTATGTTTAAATCAAATGACCACAAGGTCATAAACCTGAAAATACAACAAAGCCAACATGACAATATTATTATTCAAATATACCATGTAAATAATATTTATTTAAATAATATAATATAATAATAACGTAATAATGAAATCAAGAAGCCTGCAACAACCGTTTAAAAATGTGCAATCTGGCTCAAAGGGATCGCCGAGCAACCCCGCACCTTGCGAGCTACAAAGGTTACTGTCGGCCAGCTAACACCGAACACCAGTGAAAGTAAAACGTCAGGGCTCAAACACACAAGTGACTTAAACATTGTTACTTGTAGGCTGCGTGAATAGTTAGCAGTCACATACCCAACGGGCGTGTGCTCCTGAATGATGGTCTGTGAAATGATAGCCAGGTGCCATATAGTACAAAGTTTCCCCTTAATTTGCATGCTGCACAATAAATAAGTCCCATCACTTCCTGGAGCATCTGTAGAGTATGATCTGTAATCTCCTGTTCAGTGAAGTCCACTTTTAATGTATCTTAAATTATTTAAAAACAGTGTATATGTTTAATATTTTAATTCTTTTGTACAAGGAGAGTAATATCAACTTTTGTGAAAAACAAGGTTTCTTTTTGTGGTTGTGAAATCTGCTTAGAAAGAACATGGAAGTGATGTAAGCCAAATTCTGTGCTAACTAAGGATAGACTGTAGGGTGGTGGGTGTTGCTGTTAAAAGTTATTTTTCACACAGTAAGTGTCATCCACAAAGAGGAAGACACCGCCATCACCTACAGACCTGCATTAAAGAAGAAAAGCCTTCACCAGCAGCGAAATGGAACACAAAATGTCTCTACTGGGATTATCCTTATTTTTGTGCTTCACTTTGAAGGTAAAGCTCTGCCTTTCTTATTTCAATGGTAACAATACTACTACTACTAGAAAGAAACTAGAGGTTTGAAATTAAATATTAATTTAAAATTAGGAGGAACAAGTCAGTATTGTTCCTGCTTTAGAGTCACTTTGATGAGCCTTTTGATAAACTTTCTGGCCCTCTTAATAATGAGCCAACTGTTTGTGTGAACAAGAAACAAGATACAGTATGAAGTCTTATAGATACATCCTGAAAATGAATATATATTCCAGCATACGGATGTCAAGGACAGGAAAGTAAGATGATCTCATAGTCTGTTTGCCCTCTGCCCAGGGGTGGGAGATTACCAAGAAATAGAAAAAATAAATCCTTAGTGTTATACGTTTATCCCCATACGGATGAATTTTATGTGTAATGTGTGAATTTTTTTACA